CTTTATACTAGGACTACCTAAACTCAAAGATCCCTAAACCCTAAACCCTAAACCCTGAACCCCAAGCCCTAAACCCTAAACCCTAAACCCTAAACCCTAAACCCTAAACCCCGAACCCTAAACCCTGAACCCTAAATGGCCCTAAACCCTAAACCCCGAACCCCAACCTTCAACCCCTGAACCCCGAAGCCCCAGGAGCCCCCTCCCGCAGGGAAGAGAAAGATCCAAAGCTGAAGAGCATGGTGTCGTAAGCGCAGAGACACCGGGTCTAGGGTTTGGGGTTTACGGTTTAGGGTTTAGGGTGTAGGGTTTAAGGTTTAGGGTTTAGGGTTTAGGGTTTAGGATTAAGGGTTTGGGGTTTAGGGTTTTGTTTTTTAGAGTTTAGGGTTTATGGTTTAGGGTTTCGGGTTTAGGGGCTTTTAGGGTTTAGGGTTTAGGGACCTTGAACCCTTAACCCTTAATGACCCCAAACCCCACAATCCCTGACCCCTACACCCTAAACCCGACAAACGACCGTCAAACCCCACAAGCCCCAAAACCCCGAATCTCGTAGTCAAGGAAGATTCCTAGCCTGCAAATATGTACTTATAGTAGAGAACAATATGTTATAGCATACGGTTGATGATATATAAACCCTGCATTGCCTATAACAAGGAATATAACATAATTCCCATAGTTTAGGGTCCTTAAGGTAATGCAGGATTTATACCATCAACGGTACTATAGCTTGGAGGAAATCTTGTGACGAAGGTCTTTAGTCTGGGAGCCTTGGGCAAGGCCGTGTGGGGCTTGGGGCTTGCAACAAGCCCCAGTCACCCTAAACCCGGAAAGCACCAAAACAGCCCTACACACCTTAAACCCTAAACCCTAAAACCCTAAACACCCTTAAGAAACCACAAAACCTCAACCCCGCACCTGCCTTCAGCTCATGTGTCAGCTTTGTCAGCTCCACATTCTCTTCCTCCGGCACCCGAAAACCCTAAACCCCTTCCTCCGGCACCCGAAACCCGAAACCCTAAACCCTAAACCAAGAAAATGCTTAGGCTTTCGTAGGCTTTGGGTCGGTCCTCAGAGGTACTTAAAAGGATCACGGGACTTAGCAACTGAAGGAAGGATCTAAAAGGAGTTTTATTTTAGGGTTTCAGGGTTTCTTTCGGGATGTCTATAAGGGTTCTATAGGGCCTCAGGGTATAGGGATCTGAGTAAGCATGTATATATATATATATTATATGCACATAGTTTACATTATATATATAATTTGTAATATATATATATATATAATTTGTAATATATATATATATATATATATATATATGTATGTATATGTATATGTATACATATATATATATATATATATATATATATATAAGTACCGCTAATTGTGAGTTGGGTTACCTTAGTTATTTATAACCCTAGTTACTAAGCCCATGATCCTTTAAGTAGGGTTTAGGATGTAGGGTTTAGGGTGTAGGATGTACACTGCAGGGGCTTGGGGATTCCGCAGAAGGTTCCTCTTCAAGAGTTCCTGAAACAATTCCAAAACTGTTAAGGTGTATGATGGCAACAAAACGTTTCGGGCTTAAAGGTTTAAAGTTCAGGGGTTTGGGGGGCTTAGTTAGGGCTTAGGGCTTTAGGGCTTTAGGGCTTTAGGGCTTTAGGGGTTTAGGGGTTTAGGGGCTTAGGGACTTCGGGGTTCAGGGGGTTAAGGGTTCGGAAATTGAAATTTGTGGTTTAGAGCCGTGTCACGTCATCCAGGGTTTGAGGGTGTGGGGAGCTTGGCTTTGCGATGCTAGGTTTAGGGCCGGGGCTCTCTTAGTCTTCGGAAGGCGAAAGGCTTAAAGTTGTGTGAGCTCCGTAAACATCGAGAGCCTACTTCACAATCAGAATCGGCTTCGGCGGTGTGTTATAGTTTAGGGTTTAGGGTTTAGGGAGTAATATTCCCGATCAAACCGCTTCGGGCGCAGGGCTTTGAGTGTAGACAACCCGAAACCCTTGAACACTGAACCACACTAAGCCCAAACCCTACGCCCTAGGTCACTAAACACTGCACCCTAAACCCCAAGCCCTAACACCCCACATTCCGAACCCAAAGCCCTGAATAGAAGACGGCATAGAAACCCTCATACTGACCCTCATAAGAGCCCTTAACGGCTCCCTTTAAGGGATCTACATGGGTTCCGAGTTAAGAGATCTATAGGGGTTCGCTTTAAGGGGCCTATGAGGGGCTCCTTTAAAGGAACCCCGAAGATCCCATCCCGAAGACGTGGGCCTTGAGGTCACGAGCTCGCCGCAGAGCCTGAAGCAGTTGCGCAGTTCTCTAAACTTCGGGTCCCTTTTTTAGGGCACCTTACAGGGATCTACAAGGGTGTCTATCTATAGTTCTCTAAATTCGGGTCTATAGTTCTCTAATTTCGGGTCCCTTTTTGGGATCCTGTTTGTCTTTTTCAGGGTGCCGTACTATGTTGGGAACCTAAACGGGGCCCTGATTTAGAGAACTACCCGGGCTACTGGAGGCGGGCTTAGGGTTTTGGGCTGAGGGGTTTATAGGTCTTCGGATTATTATAAGGGTTTCCAGAATGGCGAGAAAGCTTAGATTTCACTCTTTGGGATTTAGGGAGACTTGTTCTTGAAGCACGTGCAGGGGTTGCTTTAAGGGCTCCTGGTTTACGGCTTGGGGTTTAGGGCTCCAAGAAGTGTGCCTTTACAGGATCCAATGAGGCTTCAAAGGCTCTCATAAAGCCTGACAGAGTTTACACGGGCTTTGTATAAGGCGCTTTGTAAGGTTCTTCATAAGGAGTTATTGGAGGGTACACGATTTGTAAGTGGGGGTCTATAAAGGTGCTACAGATTTTCTCTAAATTACTATAATCAAAATAAGGAACCCCCAAAACCCTCCACTCCCTAAACCCTAAACCCTAAACCCTAGACCCTAGACCCTAGACCCTACACCCTAAACCCAAAACCTCTAAACCCTAAACCCTAAACCCATCCACCCGGTGTACTCGGCTGTTGCACTTGCCTCATGTCTGTAAAGGTTGGGTGGCTCCTGGACTCCCGGGCATGCATGCCTGCAACCCGTCTTAAGTGAACCCTAAACCCTGAACCCTCAAATCGGTAAATCGGTAAACAGTAAGAGTGCCTTTTTGTGTGTGCTGGGTGCTGCTTTGCTGCGGGAAAGGCGGCATGCTCCTTCTTTTGCTACAGGTGCGCGGGCACCCTGTTTTTTGCTGCGGGTGCACGGGCGCGTTTTTTTGCTGCGGGTGCGCGAGCGCACTGTCCTTTGGTGCTGTGGGTACGGGACGCCTTTTCACGCTCTTTTTGCTGCGGGCACGAGACGTGTCTTTTCGGCTGCCCCGCACCCGCAGCAAAAATCCCTCCGCAAAAAGGTGCCCAAACAGCAGTGAGCCCGCGCACCCGCAGCAAAAAACAGAACCTTTCCCCACACCAGCAGTTCAAAAAACAACGTGCCTCCACACCCGCGGCAAAAAGAAAAGGTGCCATGCACCCGCAGCAAAGGGCACCCATCGCAAAAAAAATGGCAAACACTACGCCACTACGCGCTGTAGTTGCTGCCGAAGTGTGCAGAGTTAGTTCACTCACTCACTTGCTGCCTGCCGCCCTGAAGCACCCACAGCAAAACAGCACACAAGACAAACATAGCACGGGTTCCTCTGAAACCTAGCCACTGCAAACCTGAATTCCAGATCCTAAAACTCTACAAAATCCTGTAAAATCAAAAAACAAGCACTACGACCAAAATCCCCTGAATCTCTAAAAGCTAAAAACACCCTGAACCCCAAACCCGAAAACCCTAAAACCTAAACCCTAAACCCCTAAACCCTTAAACCCTTAAACCCTCAAACCTACTGCCCAAAACCTAAAACCCCTAAACCCCAAAACTCCTGCACCCAAACCCTGAAGAAGTGCCGGGCCTCCGCTAAGCCACCAGGACCGAGCCTCAGAGACATTGCTTCTGCAACCAACATGCCGGGATTATCGGGATCCGAGTTAGGGTTCAGGGCAAAGGGCTGGGTTTAGGGAAGTTAAAGGTTTAGGGCTTAACGGGCTTAGGGGTTTAGGGTTTAGGCTGGGAGGATTGAAGCTGTGACTCGGACTTGCAGCATTTCATTCAGGGTTTTGCACTAAACCCTAAACCTTTGAAAACTCCCATCACTTGGCAAAAAGCCTGAAGCTGCAAAACTCAAAGAAGGAATAGAGACTTGGCAGCTGGGCCGGTTTAGGGTTTAGGGTTTTGGGTTTAGGGTTTAGGGTTTGTAAACTAAGTATCTAGCTTCATATTTTTCAAAGAAGCCCACGATGATGGACCAAAAACTCTTGCAAGTACCCAAGCTTAAAACATCCCAAATTTTACCCGAACAACCCCAAAACCCTAAAACCTAGACCCTAAATCCTAAACCCTAAACATAAAACCCTAAACCCCTAAAGCCCTAAAACCCTCATCCTGGATTCTGTGAAAGGCCGGAGGCCTGGTGTCCAGGACACCACACGACTTGCTGCATCGGAGAGTCTGGTGGGTTTAGGGTTTAGGCTTTAGGCTTTGGTTAGGGTTTAGGGTTTAGGGTTCAGGGTTTAGGGTTTAGGGTTTAGGGTTTAGGGGTTTAGGGTTTAGTGTCTTAGGGTTTTGGATTTAGGGGTGCGCCGCAAGATTCACTGCAAACATACGGTGCTAGCTGCTGGTGATGTTACGCTTGCGATGGAGGGCCCAAGATTGCTGTAAGGGAACTATAAGGGTTCCTTTAAGGGCTCCTTGAAAGGATCTATAAGGTTTCCTTTAAGGGTTCCTCTTAGGGTTGTTGAAGATTTCGGTTGCTTGCCGATTTCAGGCTGGCTCCTAAACCCTAGACCCAAAACCGTGACCAAACCATAAGACAGGGCCCTGGCAGCTCGTCGTATTTCTTCTGCAGCTTGTCGAACAGGCTCAACAGCTTGTCGTACCTAGGGGCGTCTCATACGGTTGATGGCATTGCCCATAGTAAGGAATATGCCATAATTCCCATCGTTTAGGGTCCTTCAGGATGTACATCAACAACAGTAGCTTGTGGGTTTAGGGTTTAAGGTGTTTTTGATTCAGGTTAGGATTTAGGGCTACTTCTCCGGTGGTTCCTGGAACCACGGCAGGCTGGGCCGTTCTGGAGGCTCGGTGGACCTGCATACCCCAAGCCCACAAACCCCAAAATCCTAAATCCTCGTAAACCTTCATACACCCTTATATGCAAGCCCTTATTATCAACCGGCCCTAAACCCTAAACCCCAAACCCTAAACCCTAAACCCTAAATCCTAAACCCTAAACCCCAAACCCTAAACCCTAAACCCTATATACCCCAACATGCCCTTAGACAACCTGCCACAACTCCTGCCCCCCCCCCCCACAGCACCCCGAGAGGCGCACTTGACCTCCCAAGACTCGGCGACAAGCTCGATCTCGTTCCTTAAATGTGGGGTTACTATGCCCAGAGACTCCAATATCCCTGAATTAAGGAATGTACCTTAAATCATAGTAGGATCCCTAATATGATTTAAGGTATATCCCTTAATTAAGGAATATATCTTGAATTATAGTAGGATCCGTAATATGATTTAAGGTATATTCCTCAACTAAGGGATATCGGAGTCTCTGGGTGGCTTTCGGTGTTGGGGTGGAAGGTTCCGAACTTTCGGGGGTTGGGGCTTTGGGTGTCTAGGGCTTTAGCAGCCTGGATCTCGGTCCTTCGGTAGTAGGGATACTCATGCGGTGTCAGACAGATGTTACGAGGGTTCGAGGGGTGGTTCCTTATGTTGGGTAGGTGCTACTTACAGGGCACGGTAGGGATGGTACGGCTGATGGACAAAATCCTGCATGACCTTATATACCGAAACTATGGGGTTTATGGTACTATACTATAATTGGGTCATGCAGAATCTTGTCCATCAACAGTATGATTGAGGTGGGTGTTGTTCTTTATTTACACTTGGAGGGGAGACTGGAGATTCGGGTGTGTCTCTTTCGTACAGGTACACCAGGGCAAACACGGCTACGAAAGATTCAGACCCCAATACAGAAGGCCGGTCCAAGAATCTGGGGTCTTCCAAGGTGGGCAAGGTTTCAGGGTCTATGGCTTTTGAGGCTGCCTCATCGTTATTAAACTCAGAAATCCACGAGTTTAGCGTTTTCGACTTTGGGACGGTTCGCTCTTCCGCGATTCCCTGCGAGGCCCACGTTGAGTTTGCACAGGCTGCGATCAACGAAAAGCCCGTCATAAACGCCTTAAGAACTAGCACTGGGTTTTGGGGCTATCCGACAGCATGTTTATGTGGTATTAAAGTTGTCGCCGTTGGAGAGGGGACTTTGGTAGAAGTCACCCACTCCGACCCCTGCTCCCAGATCGCCCCCTCCTGCTACTTGGAGGATCATGGGACTTGGCAAGCAAGGCTGGGAGGTACCTTAATTGGGGTTATAAGTAGGGCTTGAGGGTTTAGGGTTTAGGGTTTAGGTTATAAGCAATTAAAGGGTATGGCTACCTTGTTCATAGTTACTTAGTCCCACGATCCTTTGAGTAGCCCTTCTCCTAAAGCTCTCTTTGCGCCTTCCACTGGTGCTGTTCAAAGAAGCCGTTTGTAAGTTGCACACGAAACTCTAAACCCTTGACTCTAAGCCCTAAACCCGCTCTGGGATCCTTTAGATGTCTGCGGAGATTCTTCAGAGATGTCACCAGGCGGTCGCGAGTTCGCACGAGCACCTGGCGGCTGCCGCCGCAGAACCACAGTAAGGTTTCAGCTGTAGCGCTTAGAGTTACGATTCGATGCCGACATCTTCGATGATGAAACTGTAAGACATCAGCAACAGAAAGAAGTCTGGTTTGATTCGAAACTCCGCACGCCCCTCCCGCCCAAAGATGTGTAAAAGCCGAAACCGCGACTGCTGGCAATGCTCATAGACCTTGGAGATGTTACTGTTGAAAGTGTTGCCGTTGTGATTCTGACGGCGGTCCTACAACCGCACGTCGACTGCGACGACAAGGAGATGATGCTGATGATGATGATGACGACGATGACGATGACGATGAAGATGAAGAGGAAAATGAAGATGATGATGATGATGATGATGATGATGATGACGACGACGATGACGATGAAGATGGACGACGACGACGACGACGACGACGACAGTGCCGGACAGGGTGCTGCTGATATTGTGGTGATGGCAGTGCTCATTTTCGGTGTCTTCATTGCCACCGCCGCCGCCGCTACTGCGAAGAGGCGGTTATCGAAATAAGCTTGTAATGACCATTGCTTGAAAACCTGCCTACTACCACTAAAAACATATGCCTCATCGGCTGCTTCTGACAAGTGCCACCCGCATTGTCATAAACACACTTTTTGGTAGTGTCAGCTATGAACGATCCAAGTTGTTTGGGTTTCGGCGGCTCACTCCGGGATTCAGGTCCCCGAATCTAAGCCCTGAACTCTTTTCAAGTCTACTGCTGTCTCTACATGTTGTTTAGTGGCCCATAACCTCAACAAGGTTTTTTGGCTTAGGGTTCGGGACTCTGGTCATGAAGCTGCGGCGTCTTCCCAGGGCTGTAGTCCGCTGTGTCAGGACAAGTCTGGTGCAAAAAGCCGTGCAAATATGAGGACAACTAACCCAACCCACACCAATAAGCCCAAGAATGGGGTCACGCTGGAGAGCCCAAGGACTACTAGCTAAGAAAACTGCTAGCTCGCTGCACCTGCATGCTCAGCACCCATGAAATCAGCATCATCGCATCTATCACGCATTCTCGTCTTCACTACAAGTGTCCTTATCATCATCATCCTCCTGGTAGTGGTCATCACGAGCATGCTCCTTCTCCAACATCTTTTCAGAGTCATGAACCCTAAACCCTAAACCCTAAAGCCCAAAGACCTACACCCCAAATCCCCGGACCTTGAACTCCTAAGCCCTTTTTCGATATGTGGTTCCGGGTTCGAAACCGCCAGGACTCAACAAGCCCTAAACCCTAAAGCCTAGGGCCCTAAAACCCTAAAGCCCTGAAGCCTACAACCTAAATCTCAAGGAACCCTTTAAGAAGCCCTAACGGAACTACGGAAGCCTTAAAGGAACCCCTAAAACCTCTACCCCCAAGCCCGACACCCTAAACCCTAAACCCTCAACACTAAACCCAACTAAACCCTAAACACTAAACACTAAACCCAACTAAACCCTAAACCCAACTAAACCCAACTAAACCCTAAACGCAACTAAACCCTACACCCTAAACACTAAACCCAACTGAACCCTAAAGCCTAAACACTAAACCCAACTAAACCCTAAACACTAAACCCTAAACCCAACTAAACACTAAACCCAACTAAACCCTAAACCCAACTAAACCCAACTAAACCCTAAACCCAACTAAACCCTAAACCCTAAACCCTAAACACTGAACCCTGAGCCCTAAACCTTAAACACTAAACCCAACTAAACTCTGAAGCCTAAACACTAAACCCAACTAAACACTAAACACTAAACCCTAAACCCAACTAAACACTAAACGCAACTACACCCTAAACCCAACTAAACCCTAAACCCAACTAAACCCTAAACACTAAACCCTAAACCCAACTAAACCCTAAACCCTAAACCCCATAAACCCTAAAACCAACTAAACCCTAAACCCTAAACCCTAAACCCCATAAACCCTAAACCCAACTAAACCCTAAACCCAACTAAACCCTAAACCCAACTAAACCCAACTAAACCCTAAACCCGACTTAACCCTAAACCCTAAACGCTAAACCCAACTAAACCCTAAACCCAACTAAACCCTAAACCCAACTAAACCCAACTAAACCCTAAACCCTAAACCCTAAAGCCAACTAAACCCTAAACCCTAAACCCCATAAACCCTAAACCCAACTAAACCCAACTAAACCCTAAATCCTAAACCCTAAACCCAACTAAA